ATTGTGTGTTCAGAATGCAAGTGGATGTTGGCTGAGTGAGGAGATTATGGCAGTTTGGGTAGAAACAAATCTAGAAATTTTAGAGCTGAGAAGCTTCTAATAGATTATTTAGCTTAGTCTGTTTATTTTGTAGATGAGGACACTAAAGCCCAGAATAAAAATTGTAACATCTTTGATTTAGTCTGACCTTCCAGCACCTTCTTAAATGCTAGAAATTTCTTCCGCAATATGCCTGATAGCTGGTCATCCAGAGGATGGGGCTAGAGAACTCATAACCTTAACTAAAGATAACCCATTCTACTATAGGACAATTCTAATTAAAATGACCTAGATAAATTGAAATCTACTTCCCTGTAACTTTTATATTCTCAGCAGTTCTAATTTAATTCCTCTTCTATGTAACATCTCCCAAGGTAAGACCTTCTCAAATCCCCAAATTAGCAGATATCACTATAGTATATAATTTCCCTAATCAAAGTAAAAGATGTCTGAAAAAGACCTTCACTGATTCCATAAAGACAGGGCATTCCACTCTTTCATGTATCCAGAATGTCCCTTTTTGACCAAGAACCACCACTTCATTGGTTTTCTTCACTTTCTCTGTGTTTCCTTCATTGGCGTTAGCATTCTGACACTTTTAATAAAGAAACATACATTTTATCACTTTGTGAATATAACTGTATAAAACTAAAGAGAGCAGTAGGTGGGGCTGAAGGGCTAGACTCGCCCCTGCAATTGCAGTCCATCTAGTTTCTCCACTCCTGTTGGCTAGCTGTGATGTGGTGAGCCTTTCCATTTCTACTTTCTCCTCAGCTGGTAAAGTTTCCCAATTGATCTTCTGTGCTTATGTAGAATGATTTGTCTAAAATGCAAATGTAGCCCTGATCTACTTCCGTAATTCAGTGGTTCCCCAACACCCAGTGCTCTATACCAGTAAAGTGCTGCTGATCATAGAGAAGCCTTTCTCAACTGGAGTTCCATGAGACAATTAAATCTTAATGTCATTAGGCATTCATCGTATGTAATATATTAACTTTTCTCCAGTGTGCGTAGAATGGCGCTAGTTACATACAGTTTTGAGGGGAATTGAGAAAACTGTCACTGTAATCATCTTTTTTGTTCTGTGGTTCAGTTGAGGAATCTAGTTATGAAAGACTGGAAGAGAGATAGTATATGTTCTTTAGGAGGTCCAGGATCACAGCTGGAAGCAGCCGCCAGGAAAAATACCTTGCAAAGCTAGTTTTGTCTTTAAATTTTTTTATGTAAATATTTCATTCCACCACATAATATGTCTATGGTTAAAAGTATTTTTAAATATTTATCAATGAGGGGCCGGGTACGGTGGCTTACACCTATAATCCCAGCACTTTGGGAGGCCAAGGTGGGGAGATGGCTTGAGGCCAAGAGTTAGAGACTAGCCTGGACAGCATAGCAAGGCCTCATTTCTTTTTCTTTCCTTTTTCTTTTTTAAAGAGGAGTCTCTGTCACCCAGGCTGTAGTGCAGTGGCACGATCTTGGCTCACTGCAACCTCCAAGGCCCCATTTCTCTAAAAAATAATAAATTAGTCAGTTATGGTAGCATGTGGCTGTAGTCCTAGCTACTTGGGAGGCTGAGGGGGGAGCATCACTTGAGCTCAGGAGTTTGAGGTTGCAGTGAGCTATGTTCGTGCCACTGCACTCCAACCTGGGCAACAGAGTGAGGCCCAGATGACAGAGTGAGACCCTGTTTCTTAAAATAAATAATAAGATAAAATGTTTATCAACAAATAGGATTTATTCTACAGGAGGATTTGCCTAGGGACTGTGGAACTACAAATAATTGCCTTTTTTTTTTTTTCTTTAAACCCTGTAGTGGGTATTTTATTTTATATATATTATTTAATATCTCTAGGAAAATTGCCCCCAAGATCACACAGATCAGTTAGTAAGGTGTACTAGTCAGGGTACTAACCTAAGAATGTCTTGACTCCGTAAAGCCCATACATTTTCTACAACTTGAGGTGTGAGACAGAAAGCCTGGAAATCCTTTTGCCCAATTCTAAGTTAATCATTTTCTGAATGTAAGATTTTTTCTTCTTGGTCAAGTTACTGTTGCGGTTCAGATCATGAATAATTTCATACTTCTTGTGCATACCAATCCTTGATTATCCAAAAGAAAAATGAGCAATGGTACATGTAATTTCACATAACAAGGAATCTTGTCCCTCTTTGGTGGCTTTGAAACAATCACTTCAAACAATAGCAGATAAACTTTTCTAATTGTTTTGTCCTAGTATATACTGACATATTGTTATTTCTTGAGTAGTCTCCCACTGATTGTGGGAACTGGCCTTTTTGACAAGAAGAAGGATAGGGTGGGATCTATACCGTCCAGTGCCTGCTGAATGGGCTGTTTTCTAACCATTTGCTTTTGAAAACTTGGTTCCAGGTAAACCCCAACCAGATAACATAGAGTTAATTCCATTTGTTCTGCTTTTCCAAGGTACCAAGTGCCAAGGTGTTAGAATTTGCCCCCCACACTCAATCTGAAATTTATATAGCCATCTGCAATCTAGTTTCTATTAGATATCCAGAGAGAAAGTCCAGAATGCCATCAGTGGTCACATTCAGCGCAGAATTTCAAGGCAGTCTGGTTCTTTTAGCTCCTCTGAGAAGCTGGAGTGAGTACTGAAATGATTACCAGCGGAAGAGCCACAGTGGCTGTTTTCAATCGTTCCTGGCCATACACCAAATTTCTGGTTGACCTTGAAAGTTTGAAATTTGGGAATCTAAGGACACCTAGAAGATGGTGTTCAGAGCCCTGCAAGGTGGTTTCATTTGGAACCTCCTCCCACCTTTCCTGTTCTAAACTCTCTTTTTACCATGTATTACTGAAGATTGCATCTTAGTACCTGATACCCCTTACATTAAATAAAAGAGGGAAAGAGTTAAATTGGGAAGTTCAGGATTTGGGCTAGAAAACCCTTGGGGTTAAAGGGGGAATTTAGCAGAGGATTGGAATGGAAATCATTTCCTGAGACAGTAGACAAGTATTCAGGAAACACCTCTGCACCCCAAAGATAGGCACAGCTGCCACACAGTGACTATTAAAGGGAGGTTCAAAGTTATAAGCAAACAGCTGATTCTCTTGGTTCTTGGGCTGTTGCTGTTGGTGACAGGAAATCTTGTTCCCCAAGCTGCTGGCTTCCTGTTTTATTTTTACTTGTAGCAGATCAGAATGTCCATAACAAGGAGCAGTCTGTTCCAAAGGGTTCTACTCCCCGTTTGAGCCTGAAAGGCTTTTTTTTTTTTTTTCTCTTTTGGTCAGACAATATGTCTGTAATGTTTAGTTTGGTTTAAGCATTTTGTATTCATAGTCAACTTTTTGGTGATGAGCTGGTGTTTTAAGATTTGATGTAAGTAAACCTGTTTTGCCTTTTTTTTTTTTTTTAAAAAAAAAAGGAGTTTATAATATTGGGGACTTAGCCCAGCTACTCAGAAGGCTAAGGTGGGAGGATCATTTGAATCAGGTGGTCAAAGCTATAGTGAGCTGTGATCGCACCATTGCACTCCATAGTGGATGACAGAGCAAGGCCCCATCTCAAAAAAACAAAAAGGCTGGGCGCAGTGGCTTATGCATATAGTCCCAGCACTTCGGGAGGCTGAGGTCAGAAGTTCAAGACCAGTCTGGGCTACATGGCAAAACCCCATCTCTACAAAAAATACAAAAATTAGCTGGGCGTGGTGGTACATGCCTGTGGTCCCAACTACTTGGGAGGCTGAGGTGGGAGGCTGGCTTTAGCCCAGGAGGTGGAGGTTGCAGTGAGCTGAGTTGCACCACTGCACTCCAGCCTGGGTAAGAGAATGAGACCCTGTCTCAAAAAAGAATAAAAAATAAGAAGAGAAATTGAGGATTTAGATATGTTAACTTTATGCTTTACCTTTTCATTTAAAGTGAATTTGTCATTTTCCCTAGCATGAAACCATTAGGCTGTTTTTGATTTCTTTAGTTTTACAAGATGTGGAGAAGAGGACCAGTCCAGCGTGCCTTGACTATAGTCACATCCATTTTGTGGAAATTAAAACCCTTTCCTATCCTTGTAAAACTAGGAATTTGGTAATCTAAATCTAAAACAAATAGCTCAGCATGAACCTGAAGTAATGGGGGATTTCCTAGGGAAAGGGGCTCAGCCTACCGGATAAGAAACAGTAACTGGAAGGTTTCCGGATCTGCTCCAGACATTTCCTGCTGTCTCTAGAGCCTTTTGGTTCAGGTGTGTTGAACCAGATGGAAGTGAGAAAGGGAGCTGTTGGGTAGAAGAGAAAGCACCAGGGAATCTTATAGCACAGTTTACTCAGCATCATGTTTGACATATTGAACGTGTAAAATTTTTACTTTATATTCTCTCATTCTGTCAATTTACAAATTAAACTTAATACTGGCATTAGTATTAGTCATACATGAACAGCCATCCACCAAGGAAGAACTGGAAAAGTTATATCCTGATGTATATCAATCACTATTGGCAGCTTGATTTCATTGTGGAGATTATCAGATGACAGTGCTCTTTTTTGATCTTTATAATTGGTGGCCCAGAATCTGATCTGTGCTGGTTATGAACACCCCAAGGATAGGATCTGTACCATCCAGTGCCTGCTGAATGGGCTGTTTTCTAACCGTGCCTCCTTGCCTCTGGGGACTCTTGTTGGTTGGAGCAGCAGTTGGCACTTTAAGGTTTCTGTGCTGCCTATGTACCTCAGGCAGCAGTCATCAGTCCAGAATTTCTAAACTTACATAGCGGATCTTCTAATAGCAAACCTTAAAAAGGGCAGAGGAGGGAGGACTTAAAAATGAAAGAAAAAGAAAGATAGGGGGAGTGAAGGTTGTTTTTTTTTTTTTTTTTTAAGAAATTTTTTTTTGTTGGAGGAGAGGAAAAAAAAAAAAAAAAAAAAGATTCTCACAGCCCTAGTGTGCCTGGAATTTGTGGTTGAGTAATACTTTCCTGTTATTTCTTTTTTAGGTTGTTTTTCATCATTCAGAACATTGCCTGAAGCAGGTCCACCATGCCGTTAGTAACGAGGAACATCGAGCCAAGGCACCTGTGCCGTCAGACGTTGCCTAGCGTTAGAAGCGAGCTGGAATGCGTGACCAACATCACCCTGGCAAATGTCATCCGACAGCTGGGCAGCCTGAGTGAGTGCCTCGGAGAGCCTGTGCTTTGCCCTCAGGGGTCGTTGGTGCTCTTTATTTAGTTTCCTTCTCCTCCTGCGTTCCTGTTTCTCCCCCATCTGCCTTCCCTAGGTAATGCGAAATGTATCCTCCCTCTCGTCCCCAAAGAGAGGCTCCCTTTTGGTGTAGCTTCTTCTCTTCAACCTTCTTTATCTACCACCACCCTCTAGGTTCCCTCCCCCTCCCCCTCCACCTGCTTCAACAGAAATCTGTGGGAAGGGTGGCAGGAAGGGCTGCAGCAAAAACTGCAGACGGAATGACAGAGCAGAATTCTGTGTGTGTAAAGTGGGAGGTTCACAGAGCAGTATCTTGGGTCGGGGAATGTGCCTGTAATTACATGAGCTGTTCGATGTAGCTTGACTTTGTTGAAGCCTCAAATGTGCCAATAGTCTTTATCTACCCAACACCCCCACCCCTTTTCTTCCCAAAGAGGAGCAAAGCAAACATGCCTTTGGAGAGATTCTGACTGACTTGTCCACCCTGGTACACATTTAATTGTGCTGCAAGCCCCCAGGTCCAAGTTCAGGGTACAAATTACTTCTGCAGTCTCTGGGGTATTGGGAGTTTTGCAAGCTGTGTGAACATACCGTGACACAAATAGTAGCTGGAGCCATTCTTCCTTAGGAGGAAGATGGGGGTTAGCCCAGACTGTTTTGGAGCTGAAGGAAAGCCAGCTCAACTATATATATTTTTTTAATTGGCAAGAATGAATGAGACTGCTTTGGGTGGGGTACATGCATGTGGTTTGGATTCATTCTGAAACAAGTTGACTTTGTTTGCTTGAAGCTGAGATATGGGAAGGGCAGATGCTTGGATTGGCTCTGCATTTGTCTAGTGCCACTCCAGCTCCCATAAGCACCTCCGTCAAAATGCCATTTAGTGATCTTCCTTAGCAAAGGCATCTTGATGTGAATTATTTCAGGCACTCACCCCTCCTATCGCATCACTGCCCTTAGTGAAGGCAGTGGAATATCAAGAAAGCCTGCATTCCCCTGGATAGCAATAGGCCCAGCCTTTAAAATAGGAGCCTGAGGAGACAGAACTGTATGACCAGATGATGTATGGAGTCTGAGATTCCTAAGCCTTCACCTACCTCAGGGACCATCTCAGTTGATCCAGGGCTTTGAAAAACCTAGATCGGGCATCGTGAAGAAATGAAACCCTGCCAGTGCCTGTCTTATACAAAAGAACATTGACAGTAGCACAACAGCAGTGCAGCTGACATGAAGGCTACAGAGAGCCCCACTGCTTTTTAAAGGCATAATTTCTGCCTCTCTCTCTTCCTGAGAAGGCCAAATGGGTAGAAGTCAATCACACACTGGTTCCTTCTTCACAGGACAAAGAATATCTAGTTAATGGTGTTCCTTATTTTCACTTACTGAAGTTATGCTCTCAGCTGTTTTTCCAGGGTGGTGTTGATGGGTGCCATTGCTCACACTTGCACTTGTGATCAGACCACTCCTATCTTGAGGAAGCTGATCTGAGGGCCAAAGTCACCTTATGCCCAAGGAAACAAGATTTTCTTACATTGTGGGGGCTAACTGACCCTTTATTCATCTGATAAACATGTGTTGAATGTATTTTATGTACCAGATGCTGAGGGGATACAGCAATAATAAGAAATGGTCTCTGCCCTCAGCTCATTATCTACAAGGGGAGACAGAAATAGATAATTCTTAACAGGAGCCGGGTGTGGTGGCTTACACCTATAATCCAGCACTTTGGGAGGCTGAGGTGGGTGGATCACGAGGTCAGGAGTTCGAGACCATGCTGGCTAACATGGTGAAACCCCGTCTCTACTAAAAATACAAAAAATTAGCCGGGCGTGGTGATGGGTGCCTGTAATACCAGCTACTCAGGAGGCTGAGGCAGGAGAATCACTTGAACCTGGGAGGCAGAGGTTGCAGTGAGCCGAGATCGCGCCACTGCACTCCAGCCTGGACAACAGTCTCAAAAAAAGGGGAGAGAATGGGGAGAGAGTGAGAAGGGAACCCACATTTGTTGATTGCCTACTTTATTCCGGGTTTGGATAAGATCTTGACATAGATTACTCATTTAGTCTTCTCAGTAATCCTTTGAGATTAGGTGGTGGTATTTTCATTTTTCAGATGAAGCAAAGAAGGCTCAAAAAAATGAGGTAACTTGGCTAGGTACAGTGGCTCATGCCTGTAATCCCAGCACTTTTGGAGGCTGAGGGGGGTAAATCGCTTGAGGTCAGGAGTTCAGGACCAGCATGGCCAACATGGTGAAACCCCATCTCTACTAAAAATACAAAAATTAGGCCGGGCGCGGTGGCTCACGCCTGTAATCCCAGCACTTTGGGAGGCCGAGGCGGGTGGATCACGAGGTCAAGAGATCAAGACCATCCTGATCAACATGGTGAAACCCCGTCTCTACTAAAAATACAAAAAATCAGCTGGGCATGGTGGCGCCTGCCTGTAATCCCAGCTACTCAGGACACTGAGGCAGGAGAATTGCCTGAACCCAGGAGGTGGAGGTTGTGGTGAGCCGAGATCGCGCCATTGCACTCCAGCCTGCGGAACAAGAGCGAAACTCCGTCTCAAATAAAACAAAACAAAAATACAAAAATTAGCTGGGCGTAGTGGCGCAAACCTGTAGTCCCAGCTCCCTGGGAGGCGGGTTGTGGTGAGCCAAGATCGTGCCACTGCACTCCAGCCTGGGCAACAGAGCAAGACTCCATCTCAAAAGAAAAAAAAATTAAGGTAATTTTCCTAAAGATATACAGCCAGTAAGAGGCAAAGTCACTGTTTAAATTCAGACTTCCTATGAATTTCTCAGCTCTGTCTCTGCCAATATTGCCCTGGTTCAGACTTCATTGACTTTCACCTAAACTATTACCCAAGCCTCCCTCTGCCTTCTTTCTTTGATCCAGCCCCCTTAAATTTGTCCTCTTATCCCTGCCAGAGTGATCTGCCTAAAACTTAAATCTCACTTTTTACTTTTATAATTCTGAATTTCTGAGGCTTTGAAAATTAATTCTGTGTTAACTTTTGTAATGTAACAAATGTTTTTATAGTCAGAGTATACATCTCAACTATTTCTTCTCTTCCTCTCTATGAAATTATTTAGATTCCTTGGCTTAGCATGCAGGACCCTCTAAGACCTGCCTTCCTTTCTAGACTCATTTTCTACAATCTCTTCCATTTTATAATCTTTTAAAAATCTTTTTACTTTTGAAAGAGTTTTGTTCTTCTTGTCTAGGCTGGAGTACAATGGCACGATCTTGGCTCACTGCAGCCTTCGCCTCCAGGTTGAAGTGATTGTCCTGCCTCAGCCTCCTGAGTAGCTGGGATTACAGGTACCTGCCACCATGCCCAGCTAATTTTTTGTATTTTTAGTAGAGATGGGTTTCACCATGTTGGCCAGGCTAGTCTCAAACTCCTGACCTACCTCCGGTTATCTACCCACCTCGGCTTCCCAAAGTGTTGGGTATACAGGTGTGAGCCACCATGCCCAGCCCTCATTTTACAGTCTTTTAAAATGGAAAAAGGGAGCCCAGCACAGTGGCTCAAGCCTATAATTCCAGCACTCTGGAAAGCTGAGACAGAAGAATTACTTATGCTCAGGAGTTTGAGACCAGCCCTGGAAACATACCAAGACCCTATCACTACAAAAAATTAAAAAATGATGCAGGTGTGGTGGTGCACAACTGTAGTCCCAGCTGGTTGGGAGGCTAAGGTGGGAGAATTGGTTGAGCCTGGGAGTTCAAGACTATTGTGAGCTGTGATCATACTACTGCACTCCAGCCTGGGCAACAGAGTGGGACCTTGTCTCAAATCAATTAATTAATTAATTTAAAGGAAAAAGAAAGGGAAGAAAGAATGAATTATCAATTACTAGTAATTCTCCTGAGACAGACTATGCTCTCTCATACTTCCATGCAGTGCTCTTGCTATCCTGCCTGGCTGAATAGCCCTTGCCATCTTTGGCTGCCTAGCTGCCTGTAGGAAAGCCCAGCTCAGGGATCTCCTCTTCCAGGTTGGGCTAAGAGCGCACTTTTGAGCTCCCATTACATGTCTATATTATCCTATCACATTATATTACAGATTACCTATGTCTCTTATACATAATTCAAAATTCTTGGGGCTGCGCACAGTGGCTCACGCCTGTAGTCCCAGCACTTTGGGAGGCCGAGGCGGGTAGATCACAAAGTCAGAAGTTCGAGACCAGCCTGACCAACATGATGAAACCCCATCTCTATTAAAAATACAAAAATTAGCTGGGCGTGGTGGCATGCACCCGTAATCCCAGCTACTCAAGAGGCTGAGGCAGGAGAATCACTTGAACTCAGGAGGCGGAGGTTGCAGTGAGCCGAGATCGTGCCACTGCACTCCAGCCTGGGCAACAGAGTGAGACTCTATCTCAAAAAAAAAAAAAAAAAAAAAAAAAATTCTTGGCCGGGTGCATTGGCTCATGCTCGTAATGTCAGCACTATGGGAGGTTGAGACAGGAGGATCACCTGGGCCCAGGAGTTTGAGACAGCCTAGGTAACATAGTGAGACCCTGCCTCTACAAAAAATAAACAAAATTAGCTTGGTGTGGTGACATGTACCTGTACTTCCAGCTATCTGGAAGGCTGAGGTGGGAGGATTGCCTCAGCCCAGGAGGTCAAAGCAGCAGTGCACTGAGATAGCGTGGCTGTACTCCAGCCTGGGCAACTGAAAAAAAAAAAGTCGAAGGTAGAAATCATGTGTTATTTGTCCTTGAACCCCAGTGTCTACCTTGTATAGTACCTGTCACCCAGCAGAAGCTTAGTAATGTTTGTCGAATAATTCATGTCTGTGTATTTCCCACGATTTCATGCTGTTGATGCACAAAGAATGTAAGAATGGAAAGAATACTTTCTGTGGGTAGTGGCAGCACAGGTGGGGACAGGCAGGGTCAAGGAATGCTTCATAGAAGAGGTTACGTTTGAATGGGACCTTGAAAGATGACTAGGATTTCATATAGCTGAGAGGAGTACAGGGAAGGGTTCATATGTGCTTCAGACTCATGACCTTGGCCTTATGTGCATTGTACCTAGGTGGAACTTCTCAATTTAGTAGTGAAAGTCTGATTATGAAATGGATAAAGCCTAAAACTAAAAATTCCACAGCCATAGATTGCTCCGTGACAGCACATCCAGAATTCTGATTTTTTCTCAGAACAGTAAGATTGGCATTTCGCATATTCGGTTGCCATATCTTAGGAAATATAGGTACAGCCAGCCAGCCAGCACTCTGGATCAGTATTGTGGCCACCCAGGAGAATGGAACCCCCACTTGGGTCATTAGAAAATCAAACTAGATATTGGGTTTCTGACTGACTGTAATGTGGGTGAGGGGGTGGGGCATGCCACTGGGGAGCTCCAAGACTCCCACTCAGACTTCAATAAGAGCAGCTTCACATTTTTAAAAATCAGTTTTACCTGTTCTTCTTCCGTGTAACATTTCATTTGAAGAGTTCTACTAAGGAAAAAAACAAAATTGAAGACTGCTTCCTGGAATCTTTTGCAGAATATGTTATCTGTTATGGATGTCCTGATGGATATTGGGTCTGTCTTGGTCATCTGAATGAGTGAAATTTAACTCTTGAGCAAGACATTTTGGTTTTCCCTAGTTCAGTATCACACTATTGTTTTCTGAAATTGGGAGTAATTTTTAGCACTTGAAGAATAGAGACTATCAAATTACTGATTGGAATTATATCTAAAATTTTTCTCTAAGCTTAAAACGGGGTATTTAGGCTAGGCATAGTGGCTCACGCCTATAATCCCAGCAGAGGAGGCCAAGGCAGATCATTTGAGGTTGGCAGTTCGAGACCAGCCTGGCCAACATGGTGAAAACCTCTTCCCTACTAAATATACAAAAATTAGCCAGACGTGGTGGCATGTGCCTTTAATCCCAGCTACTCCGGAGACTGAGGCAGGAGAATCTGTTGAACCCAGAAGGCAGAGGTTATAGTGAGCGGAGATCATGCCATTGCACTGCAGCCTGGGCAACAGAGCAAGACAATGTCTAAAAAATAAAAACATTTAACAACAAAAACTTAGGGTATTCAGAATTTACGTTTTTTTTTTTTTCTTTGGAGACAGTGTCGCTCCATTACTCAGGCTGAAGTGCGGTGGTGCGATCTTGGCTCACTGCAACCTTTGCCTCTTGGGCTCAAGCAATTCTCATGTATCAGCCTCCCGAGTAACTGGGATTACAAGCATGCGGCACCATGCCTAGCTAATTTTTGCATTTTTAGTATAGAAGGGGCTTCACCATGTTGGCCTGGCTGGTCTCAAACTCCTGCGCATCAGTGATTCACCCACCTCAGCCTCCCAAGGTATTGGGATTATAGGCGTGAGCCACTGCGCCTGGCCTTAGGTATTTACAATCTTAAGTCATGTAATGTGGTTGAGCAGTATAAGGAAGAATCTCATTGTAACAACTCACATTTTTAGCTCACTTAATCCTCAAGGTAACTTGATGGGTGGATATCCCTACTTTACAGATAAGGAAACTAAGGCTGGGAGATTGTGACTTGCTGATGAGTACACAAGTATAAATCTGAGACTGTGATTCAGATTTTCTGATTTGAAGTCAACTGCTCCTTGCATGTCTCATAGTATAGTTGTAAGTCTGCTTTGGGCCTGAATTGAGACAGTGAGGAAGCCTTCACATCACCTCACTTCCTCTTAAAATAGAGATTTTATTGTTAGCAGTTTTAAATATTGAGGTTCTTTGTAAGATTTTATCTTGAAAATCACTGTGCCACACTGAGCCTCTACTCCCACTGTCACTACCCCCTTCACTTAAGGAGCAGGAAATCCTAGGTACTCTCTTGGTGACTCTCTTGGTGTAAGGTGATTGGGTTTTTTTTTTTTCCCCCTCCAGAATAGCTAGATGGTTAATAGATATTTTTCTTTTCTTCTTCTTCTTCTTTTTTTTTTTTTTTTGAAATGGAGTCTTGCTCTGTCGTCCAGGCCAGAATGCAGTGGTGTGATCTTGGCTCTCTGCGACCTCCGCCTCCCGGGTTCAAGTGATTCTCCTGCCTCAGCCTCCCTCCCACGTAGCTGGGATTACAGGTGCCCACCACCATGCCCGGCTAATTTTTTATATTTGTAATAGATACAGGGTTTCACCATGTTAACCAGGATGGTCTCGATTTCCAGACCTTGTGATCTGCCTGCCTCGGCCTCCGAAAGTGCTGGGATTACAGGCGTGAGCCACCACACCCAGCCCTTTTATTATTTTATTGTTTTATTTATTATTATTATTATTATTATTATTATTATTGAGATAGGCTGAAGTATAATGGCGCAATCTCGGCTCACTGCAATCACTGCCTCCCAACTTCAAGTGATTCTCATGTTTCAACCTCCTGAGTAGCTGAGATTACAGGTGTATGTCACCACAGCCAACTTTTTTTTTTTTTTGGGAGATGGAGTCTCCCTCTGTTACCCGGGCTGGCGTGCAGTGGCTCAGTCTTTGCTCACTGTAACCTCTGCCTCCCAGGTTCAAGCAATTCTTCTGTCTTAGCCTCCTGAATAGCTGGAGTTACAGGCACCCGCAGTCACATCCAGCTCGTTATTGTATTATTAGTAGAGACAGGGTTTCACCGTGTTGGCCCAGCTGATCTTAAACTCCTGACCTTAGGTAATCCCCCCACTTTGGCCTCCCAAAATGATGGGATTACAGGCATGAGCCACCACGCCCAGCCTTCTATTATTATTTTTTATTTTTTTAATTTATTTTATTTATTATTATTATTTTTTAAAGACAGGGTTTCACCATGTTGGTCAGGCTGATCTTGAACTCCCAACCTCAGGTGATTCGCCCGCCTTAGCCTCCAAAGTGCTTGGATTACAGGTGTGAGCCACCACGCCCGGCTCCAACCTTCTATTATTTTTAACAGATATTTTTGAGCTTGATTTATTTTCTACACATAATGTTGCATATTTCTCTGTTTTAGCCTTCCAAACACAATTTTCCATTACCTAGACGAGCATGATACAGTATGGCTAATAAATATATTAGCCATATTTTTAACAGGGATCAAATAAAATCCTCAACTTGCAGGATAGAAACGCTCATCAGCTGATTTGAGTTATTTGAGCTCAGGAGCTTCCCATAATTGTTTAGGTCACAAACCATTCAGTATGCAAGGACTTGCTTCTTCCTTGATTAGAAATCCTTATTGACTTAAATTTACCAGCAATTCAAAATATGCAGTTGATTGGTCTTATCCCCACTCTTCAGGTTGTACTGCAGTTCACCTGAAGGTATGGTTTTGACCTTTTAGGCTATTTTTTTTCCCCTCAAATATGGACTAAGCATAATGTAGTTTTGAAGCTAAAAATTGAGCCTACTTTAAATAATTCTCAAAAAAAAATTATCATTTGATTGTCCACAGTCTCTTATGCCTGCCTTCACCTTGCAAGTACGAAGCTCAGGTGGTAGGGTCGGGCGCAGTGGCTCATACCTATAATCCCAGCACTTTGGAGGCTGAGGCAGTTGGATCACCTGAGGTCAGGAGTTCAAGACCAGCCTGGCCAACATGGTGAAACCCTGTCTCTACTAAAAATACAAAAATGAACCTGGTGTGGTGGCAAGCACCTGTAATCCCAGCTACTCAGGAGGCTGAGGCATGAGAATTGGTTGAACCCAGAAGGAGGAGGCTGCAGTGAGCTGAGATTGTGCGCCACTGTACTTTGTCCTGGGGGATAGAGCAAGACTGTCTCCAAAAAATAAAAAAGAAGAAGCAGCTCAGATGGTATATTTATTTGTATGCACCACTTTTCATTCCTAGTAAGAATGTGCCTGTGGCTTGGAATGACAATATAGAGGTAGTGTCAAATTGCTGTTATGTTTCTTTGGCTGCAAATTCTCCCTGCATTCCAGGGTTGAAAGTACGGAACTTTTCTTTTTCTAAAAATCAAGACATTGTGGAAAGAGACCACTGGTATGTTGTTTTTCATAGAGGGCTTGGAAGTTTCAGCTTTCACTTTGTTCCTGAGATATAGATTTGAAGGATTGTAACCTAGAGAAAAGACTTTGAAAGTTATAGGTTACAGCCCGGGTGTGGTGGCTCAACACCTGTAATCTCAGCACTTTGGGAGGCCAAGGTGGGTGGATCACTTGAGGCAAGAGTTTGAGACCAGCCTGGGCAACCTGGCAAATCCCTGTCTCTACTAAAAATACAAAAATTAGCCTGGCATGGTGGTGCTCACCTGTAATCCCAGCTACTCACGAGGCTGATATGTGAGAATCTCTTGAGCCCAGGAGGCAGAGGTTGCAGTGAGCCAAGATCACACCACTGTACTCCAGCCTGGGCCACAGAGGGACTCTGTCTCCAAAAAGAAAAATAGAAAGAAAAAAGAAAAGAAAGTTATAGGTTATAAAACATAAAGTAATCTTTCCACCTCTTAGAAGTTGTGCATCTCTGATAAGGTTAGGACCCCTCAAAGATACCACAGCTAATCATGGTTGTTGACTATACTTTTAAGGCTCCATTCAGGAACTAATTTCTTATTTTTCATGTTAATTTTAGATACCTAGAACGTCCTCTGAACTCCCAGTCTGTTTTTCAGAACCATTTTATAAGGTGCTTTTACAGAACAGCAAGAGGCTAAAGGCTATAGGCAAATGTGTAGGGTTTTTTTCTTTTCTTTTTCTTTTTTTTTTTTTTTTTTTGAGTTTTACCCTGTCACCCAGGCTGGAGTGCAGTGGCTGGATCTTGACTCACTGCAACCTCCACCTCCCAGGTTCAAGCGATTCTCCTGCCTCAGCCTCCCTAGTAGCTGGGATTATAGGCTCCTGCCACCACACCTGCCTAATTTTTGTATTTTTAGTAGAGATGGGGCTTCACCATGTTGCCCAGGCTGGAAATGTGTAGAAATATTATCTGTTCTTCCAAGCTTAATTTTTTGCATTAGACCTTTCAGTTTTATTCAGCCTGTTTTGAGTTTCATGACTGTTCACAGTCTGTCAAGAACGCTCTATTAGTTATAGAACATATGCAGATTTCCTAAACTATGAAGAGTATTTCTCTGTCTCCAAGAGCAGTTATCTGCATATAGCCCAAACCATCTTAGGGTATGTGTGTATGTATGTATGTATATATGTGTGTGTTTGGGAGTTAGGGAATATGATCTTTAGTAGCCAGTTTTTCTGACCATTTATGTTACTTCTATGCACTAGTGACTTGTTTCTTTGCTCTTCCCAGGTAAATATGCAGAGGACATTTTTGGAGAGCTCTTTACTCAGGCAAATACCTTTGCCTCTCGAGTAAGCTCCCTTGCTGAGAGGGTTGACCGACTACAAGTTAAAGTCACTCAGCTGGATCCCAAGGAAGAAGAAGGTAAGAAAGTTAAGCTCAACATTTGCAGGCTCTGCTGAACAGTTTTGTAGAATTTTTTCCCTGATTTATAAAAAAAAAAAAAGTGAGGGGAGAAATCACAGAGACCTATAGAGTTCTGCTTTGAAATGACACAAGGCTGAGTGGTGGGAAGAACCTTTCTAGCTCTACCACACCCCCATGTACTCCTTTCTCCCATACCCCTAATTCCTTCTTTCTCAGATTTCCCCTCCCTCAATCGTATTCTGCTACCATAAAAGTACTTGGAAGATTCATTCCTCCTAAGGAGAGGCCTGCTAGATCTAGCCACATAGTAAACCTTTGTGTTGCCTCATTTTGTTCAGTCGTGAAATGACTGGGCTGCTGACAGCCTTGTGGGGCTTCCCCAAGCAGGAGGGAAAAAAAAAAAGCCTGGCTGCAGACAGCGGCGGCCAAGAAATGCAGCAGCTGAGGCCTCTCCGACTGGTGTGACTCAGTGTTTGCTCAAATAGCCTGTCGTCCATTTTCTAATGCCTTCCATCTTCTCTCAGTGTCACTACAAGGAATCAACACCCGAAAGGCCTTCAGAAGCTCCGCCATTCAAGATCAGAAACTTTTTGACAGAAACTCTCTCCCAGTGCCTGTCTTAGAAACATACAATACCTGTGATACTCCTCCCCCTCTCAACAATCTTACCCCTTACAGGTAATGGTCAGCTAGCTCCTCCCTTTTTCAACCTATGGTTAATAACACTAGATTGTCTTTTTATCTGAAGTGGTTGTTTACATCAGAGGCTTGTATTTAAAAGCTTACTGCCTACCCCAATGTTGTCTGTGGTGGCAGAAACTAAAATTTACCCCATAGACACTTGTCACTTATTATTGTTTGGTTTCTGAAATGCATAGTGAGTATAATATATATTGAAAGTTTACTGTAACATTGCATGCTACAGAGTTTAATTTCATATAAGCCAGGTCCATCTTGGATTCCATCCAAGGAATTTAGTTATTATAGAACCAAAAGGACTTTGTTACAAGGCGGTCCTACAGCATGGATCCCAGGGGCAACATTCTAGCAAGGCTCCCACTTACTTGGAAACCACTAGATTACCAGATGTTTGGGCGTGTTAGTGGGGCCAGCCTCTTGGACTGGCTGCTCTGGGCCCAGAGGGGTCTTTCCAAAGCTTAAGGAATAATTGGCATTCTTCCAAATGAGCATTGTTCACTTTGTTTTGAACATCCTTTAGACATTTCCTTCTGAAAGGACCTACCCTGCTGTGACTGGACTTGAAAAACAAGGTAGCCTTATAGACAACTTAAAGCCCCTCTCCAGCAGTGGTTTGGTAGTTTTGCCATCCTGCAAAAAACCACTGAAGAGGGGCAGAAGGCGAATATTTATCTTGCTTACATCCATACGTATCTTTGGAGCAGGTAAAAAGTAATTACAGATAACTGGAGGCAGATGTCTTCTATTGGACGTGTATACTACAAGGTAGAGAGAGAGTGTGTGTGTGTGTGTGCACGCGCACGCATGCGCACACACATGCACATGCGCATCCCCATGTGAAATTCAAGAACGCCAGTCTGATTCAGGGAACCTTCTCACACAGATATAAAGTACATGGCATCTGTCCTTCGTTTTACTGTGTAAAATTATGTTTTCCCCTTGGCTTTCAAAGAGACCAGCATAGCAGGACAGAGATTTGACTCTGTATTGAGTCTAGTTGGGTTTGGGCAGAGGGGATGTGGAGCAGAAAGGGGTCGTACAGCTAGTAATATTGTAGGGAGTGTGACTTAGGGTTTGTGATAGGATTGGATAAACAAATGATATTAATAGAATTTTTTTCTTCAGTTAGTGGCATTTTTCTTTTTAACATACAGTATCAGAATTAGCATGGCCTCTCAATTACCTGAACTTGGCCTAACAGAAATAACTGGTGTATATCTAACTCAGAAGAAGATTTAATACAGAAATCATTAATGTGGCCAGGCACGGTGGCTCATGCCTGTAATCCCACCACTTTGGGAGGCCGAGGCAGACAGATCACAAGGTCAGGAGTTTGAGACCAGCCTGACCAATATGGTGAAACCCTGTCGCTACTAAAAATACAAAAATTAGCTGGGTGTGGTGGCACGTGCCTGTAGTTCCAGCTACTCAGGAGGCTGAGGCAAGAGAATCACTTGAATCTGGGAGGCGGAGGTTGCAGTGAGCCGAGATTGTGCCAGTGTGCTTCAGCCTGGGTGACAGGTGAGACTGTCTCAGAAAACAAATGGCTGGGCACAGTGGCTCATGCCTGTAATTTCAGTACTTTGGGAGGCCAAGGTGGGCAGATCACAAGGTCAAGAGGTCTAGACCATCCTGACCAACATGGTGAAACCCCTAAAAACACAAAAATTAGCTGGGTGTGGTGGCACATGCCTGTAGTTCCAGCTACTCAGGAGGCTGAGGCATGAGAATCGCTTGAACCCAGGAGGCGGAGGTTGCAGTGAACTAAGATCACGCCATTGCACTCCAGCCTGGCAACAGAGCTAGCTTCTGTCTCAATCATTAATGTTTGATTTGGAAGTGCTTTCTGTGTTGTGATAGGATTGGAGAGAGGGAACAGAATTGCCTTTCCAGTTCTTTTCAGTTCAGAATAATGTTAAGATAAATGTTCACTCCTAAGCACATATTTTCTGGATAGTGAGAGGGCTTTATCCATGCCAAAGTGCAAGATTCCAACCACGACCATTGAGTCTGGCAGATAGCCCTTATAAGGACGCGCAGTGACTTATGCTGTCCCACTGGCACAGCCACTAATTAGGGACTGGTGATTAAACCTTGTGGTCTTAACAACAGCTGGCCGTCTTTTTTCACTGGAGCCCCCTTGTGGTTGGGGTGTATGTGGATGCTGAGCTATTTTAGAAGGGAGCAAGAAGGTGGAGTGGTTATCTGTGTGTGCAGAGAAATAACAGCTGTACACACACACACTTTTCATGTATATATGTGTACATATGCATACACATGAACCTCCACATGTATACACAGATTTCCAGTGGGTGGAAAGCTACTGATGTCCTAGAGAGTCCTGGGGAACTGGTGGGAAAAGAGGAACCAGTGGTAGAAATTCCCTCTGATGTACCAGGATATCCGAATATCCTCAGGGAGATGTCTGTGGCCATGCAGATCATTAGAAGTAATCAGAATCCCTACTGCTATCACCTGTTCTTGCCCTGACAATGCAAATTATCTACCAGGAATTGAAAGTAAGGCTAAGGTTCTTAAAAAGCCTGATAAGTAGAGAGGTACCATTCAGGGGCATTGAAATGCTGGTATGGGAGAGGAAATATGCAATCGATTCAAATGACTTCTTGATTCCTTGGTGTAAAAACTGCTAACTGGTAGGTGTTTGGAATATTGGATTTGGTTGGGAGCTCATCTGTCTACTGACAGCTACTTGTCTTCATTTCTATCCCAGGGATGATGGAAAAGAGGCACTCAAATTCTACACAGACCCTTCATACTTCTTTGATCTTTGGAAGGAGAAGATGCTGCAGGACACCAAGGATATCATGAAAGAGAAGAGAAAGCATAGGGTGAGGGGAGAGGGGCCTCTGTTCTCCACATCAGTAGGCACGATTGTGGAGGGGGGATAAAAAGGAAGCCAGTCTTATGTGAAGTAATCATTTTGAGTGGCTGCTTGCTTGGATGCCAGGTGAAACTCTTAAAAAAATGTGGCCACACCAAGCACAACCAAGATGAAAGTATAAATCACACCAAAAATGTGTTTGTTCCCCCCAGCGCTATTAACAATTGAGTATATTCAGGCTGAGTTTTAGAAATTGACTTTTCTATTCACCATTTATTTCTCTTGCAATTTGCACCTGACTCTGCTGGACATGCAAGCTAGGCTAGTCCCTTCCCCGCCAGTTTTGCAGCTCATTTCTCAGAGATGAGCACAAGGTTCTGCAGTGTTTGATTTGCAACAGGAGCAGTTTAACACCTTCACTACTGGTTGGGTGGGGCCGGGGTGGGGGGATATGTGTAGGTTTTGGAGATTCTTCCTCCCCATAGAGTCTTCCTGATATGTATGTGACCTACCAGTTGCAACCTCATTCCTATTAAGCATGGCTGCCGGGAGGCCCAAGAGAGTGCCAGGGGCAAGAGCAGCTGCACAGCCTGAAAAATTCTTCATTGATTTTTTTTTTTTTTTTTTTAACTATTTCCTTATATATGCCCCAGATAACCGTAGGTCTCATTACATCTCATCTCTCTTTACTGATCTTTGGGGCTCAGCAAATAATAAATAGCTATTTACTAACTTCTAGCAGTTAGAGATTTTCAAAAATGTGAATGAAAAGAGGTAGTGGGTTTCCCATTGCTGGAGGCATTTGAATGTGGGATTGAGCAAATGTTTCACCTAGGGGATGGTGTGGATTAGATGACCTCTAGATCACGCCAAACCCAGTAATTCTGTAAGTTTTGTAGTTATTGTATGTTGTCTAGGTAGATCATCTCTTAGATATGCATCCATGAAGATGGGTAGAATTTTAATGAAGAACTTTGGAAAATGTTCTACAAAGACCTGCCTGTTCTTTTCATTATAGAAAGAAAAGAAAGATAATCCAAATCGAGGGAACGTAAACCCACGTAAAATCAAGACACGTAAGGAAGAATGGGAGAAAATGAAGATGGGACAAGAATTTGTGGAGTCCAAAGAAAAGCTGGGGCCTTCTGGGTAGGTAATGCCTTTGTGCTGTCGGCAGCATTCTTTGAAGGGGCTGGGGACCTGGGGACAACAGTCTGACAGCTCTGGTGTGACACCTTTCACACCCCCTGAAGTCTGTCTGTGTGTCTTAGATCAATACCACTATTAATCAGCTACTTTAAAGTGCATCCATCTGGTGATTAAAGTTTGCTAAATAAATCAAGAGACTCAGCAATTTAAATGAGGTGACTGGAGTGGTCTGGAAAAGAAAGCCCATGGCTCCTAGTGCCCTTACTCTGCGAGACACTGACACATCTCAGGGCCCCAGAGGAAAGACTGGAAAGGGAAGAAGAAAAGTGGTCTTGGGAATCCTTTGCCTCCGGAGCATTGATTTGAAGGTCATGCCTAAGAACTGGGCATTTCACTCTGAGGGCTGGGGAGGGCCGGGCAAGGAAGTTGTTCACATCACTGAAGCAACTTTTCAGTCAGCTTTTGTCAGTCTTGGGAGAGAGGCTGGCCAAGGGACTGAATGCAGACCTCATAGACAGTGTGGGAAAGGTTGCTCGGCCAGTATTGAGGCTATATATCTCTGCGAAGAAATAAGAGGTGTCAGTCTGACTCCATTTCCCAATACCAAATCACACTGGAGGTTTAAAGACGGGGGAAAGATGGTTTTAAAGCTTGGTTTGATGCTTATCCTGGTACCTGACCTGGTTGACATTCAAAGCCAAGTCACCATGACTGCTTGGAATGAATGTCGCCCTGGTTTTTTTCTCTAAATACATTGCATCATGGCTGTCAGAGAACCATGCCAGCCTATGCTGGGTGTCTAGGAATGATAAAAGGAAAGAGTTGAGTTGTTCTAGCTATTAGAAATAACTCTACATGAAAATCTTGACTTTTAAAAATCTTGACACTTCTGACACTTGTTCTTCATGGATTAAGAGATCTGTTTTAAAGAGTGATGAAGACGGTGAAAGGAAAAAATGAACCTTTTTCTTTCCTAGGAAACCACCCCTGAGGGTACCTTCATTACCTTCACCTCCCAGTAAAGGGGGCCATTTTGTTGCATGGACCCATCCTGTTCAGACAGGCAGTTGTCACAGGTTCAGTGATTCTAAAGCCAGAAGCTTGCATGTTCAGAATGCCAGCTACCCATGTGTGTCTTTTTTTCGTGGAGTAGGAAGATGAGGATTTGCCTCCCATTTTCCTGTTGTCCAGGCGGTTTGGAGTTGGGCTGCATGGCTAGTCTATCTGGACATGCCTGTTGGTGAACCTATAAAGAGACGTGCCAAGGCTCCAGGGCTCCAGGCCTTGGGGATTTTCCACATCACAGAATCTTTAGATTCAGTTAGTTTCCTCCAACTCTGTTCTCCCTGGGGTTTGTTTTAGATGAGTTCTTTAGAACCCAACAATGGTGGAAAGAGGGCGGGAGGTGGAGCATAGCAGGCCAGATTTTGCTAGCTGATGCTTGTGTATTTGTGCTTGTTTGAAGTTTTGTTGTTGTTCACCCAGAACAAATTCACCCAAGGCCCAGTGCACTGAGGGACAGGTTTTCATGAGGCAAGCCCTAGCACCCTACTTTAATTGTCAGCTCATTTTGTTTGATAAGAGACCTGGCAGAAAGACCACATTTACTACCTCATAGCACCCTGCATTCATCCTGAGCTTCATTTTGCAATCCAGTGCCTCCTTGGCCTTCGAGCTCCCCAGAGGCTTGCTGACCTCAAAATCAGGCTGTGTGCCAGTCACATGTTTGCAACTCACTAGCCTGTGTGACTTGGCTTCACCCTTTGCGACAGGACAGGCTTTGGGATTCAGGTATATCTGCACCTGACACTGGGGAGAGAATTTAAAAGAACTGCCGGGTTTGACAAGGCCAAGACTGGGCAAGGAGCAGCATAGTTTTGATAATCTGGGGTTGAATCCTGTTACCACAAACAATTCAGCAGAAATATCTGAGATATATTTGACAATAGAATATTTAGTCTTAAAATAAAATTTCAGTGTAGCAGAAAATATACGGGAAATATACCTATTTTATTTCTCCCTAATAGCTTTTGTATCAAATGCACTTTTGTAGTACCTTTTAAGAAGAAAACCCACTCAGGCTCTTTAAATGACACTTTTTGGCATTCGGTTCATTGTCAGGTATCCACCCACCTTGGTGTACCAGAATGGCAGCATTGGCTGTGTTGAAAACGTGGATACAAGCAACTATCCACCACCACCACAGTCAGACTCTGCTTCTTCCCCTTCTCCTTCCTTCTCCGAGGACAACTTGCCTCCCCCACCAGCAGAATTCAGGTAAATGGTGGCACCTATTCCATCCTCTATTGGTGGTTATACACTCAAGAACAAAAGAATGGACCAAGAGCAGTGGCTCACACCTTTAATCCCAGCACTTTGGGAGGCCAAGGCGGGAGGATCTCTTGAGGCCAAAAGTTCAAGACCAGCCTGGGTAACATAGCAAGACCTCATCTCTACTAAAAATAAAAAAAAAATAGCCAGGCATGGTGGCACCCACCTGTGGTCCCAGCTACTCAGGAGGCTGAGGTAGGAGGATCACTTGAGCCTGGGAGGCTAAGGCCGCAGTGAGCCATGATCATGCCACTGTACTCTAGCCTGAGTGACAGAGCGAGCCAAAAAAAAAGATAAGAATTCAAACCCTAGATCAAGACTATTAAAATAACTTCAAACAAAACTGTCTAGATAATAGAAACAATTAACATTTACCCAGTATTTGCAAGGTGCCAGGCATTATGCTAAACACTGTCCCTATTTTACAGATGAGTAAACTGAGGCACAGAGGGGTCAATGAAATGACCCAAAAGTCACAGCCAGTAAGGGCAGAGCTCTGATTGGCCAGTTGGACTAGAACCTGTTTTCTTAACTACTCCTGACTATACCTGAACAAATAAAAGTCACCAACTTTTTTTCTTTAACTCATCATGAAATGAAGTGGTACAAACTGCTGTCCATGAAATAGTTGCAAATACCTTGCCGAGTTGTCTAGGAACCTAGCATAGAGTCACTTCCTCTCTTACTGCTTCTGGTTAGTTTCGCTGCTGTGTAGAATCTCCAGAAAGAACGAAACAAAGGGAAGAGAGGGGTGAAACTCCAAATTTGTCCATTTTGCTATTTGTCAGTGTCCCTGGCAGAGGTGTACAGAGGACGTGTTAGGCAGTAACACTTCAGTAACACATTGAAAAGAGATCTGAGAATTGTTCAGATTGCACTGTTTTCTCAGTTACTTTTGTCATTTCTGTAGCCCGACAAATGAGAGCTTTGAAAGGTGCACTTTTCTCCTTGAATACTGCTTAATTAGAGATTGAATGTGTTGAGGACCCCTCAGATGGAGACCTAAAGCAGTGCTGCCCTCCTACTCTCCCCTCATTCTTCTTGGCCCTTGAAACCATTAATCCCAAATATCCTTCTGCTTACGAAATCACTCCTGCTGGTTGCCCTGTCAGATGCAGCTAAGGCTTGAAGGTCTATGGAAAATTCCAAAATGGCTGCTTTTCTAAGGAGTAGCTGTTAGATACAAAGGTGGAAAAAGAAAACCTGCAGCCTCACACATGGCCTGAGACCTTGAAGCTGCATCCGAGCAAATCTGATCCCAGGAGAGGTGTAGCTTTAATCCTCTTTCAAGCCTGGGTCAGGAGTCTGGTGGCACATTCATTTCCCATCTCTGCAGATTCTGAGATTGAGATTCATTCTCTCTCAAGATTTCCCCACATGAGCACTGAAGATGCATTCACCTAAATCTGTATCCCACTCAGGTGTGGTCAGCCTGGCTTGGGTTTCCTGCCCTCTCCAATGCTGGTAAATGTTAATAGCCTGAGAAACAGATCCTGGTGTGTGGGTGGGTGGTTGAATTTTTATTCCGGTTCTCTCTTGTATGCACCCTTAATCCTGGCTGCAGGTTTAAACTGACAACTGCCATGGACCATTCTTAGAGAAGGGTTCAGGAGGGTGCCTTCCCCAGGAGAGCTGAAAAGGTAGAGGGGTGCCTAAGAGACGTCTCAGCCAGCCCTTACCTGATAGAGGAATCTGAAGTCCACTTCTTTCAGGTAGTTTTACTCAATCTGGCTATCCTCCTCTACAGGTGGGAAGCTCATTACCTTACAAGGATGCTTATTTTTTTATTGGTCTGTTCTGACCATAGGTAGGCTTTTCTTTCTGTTTGAGCCAAAGTGAAATAGTATAGTCAACCAAGATAAACCTCGGCATAGAGACAAGGCTAACTGTAGGTAGGTGTTTGCATTCTAAGAGTGATGGTGAGTCTTTTTTCTTTGACCTTTTAGTTACTCAGTGGACAATCAAAGAGGATCTGGTTTGGCTGGACCCAAAAGATCCAGTGTGGTCAGCCCAAGCCATCCACCACCAGCTCCTCCTCTAAGCTCTCCGTCAGGCCCTAAACCCGGGTTTGCTCCACCACCTGCCCCTCCGCCACCTCCCCCTTCGATGATAGGCATCCCACCTCCACCACCACCTGTAGGATTTGGGTCTCCAGGGACCCCTCCACCACCGTCACCTCCATCTTTCCCACCTCACCCTGATTTTGCTGCCCCTCCACCTCCTCCTCCACCGCCGGCAGCTGACTACCCAACTCTGCCACCACCTCCCTTGTCCCAGCCAACAGGAGGAGCACCTCCCCCTCCCCCTCCCCCTCCTCCTCCGGGGCCCCCTCCTCCCCCTTTCACTGGTGCAGATGGCCAGCCTGCTGTACCACCACCACTTTCTGATGCCACCAAGCCCAAGTCTTCCTTGCCTGCCGTGAGTGATGCCCGTAGCGACCTGCTTTCAGCCATCCGTCAAGGTAAATCCCAGTGGTGGGTCTGGGACTATGGAGCCTTGTCTTTCTGAAGCTGGGATGACTGATTGGGGGATGTGGGAGGGGGCTGTGTGCCCTTCCCAGGAATAGCTTTCGTTGGGTGGGGAGAGATTGGGGCATGAGGCCTAGGAGCAGCCTGAGAAAAGGCTTCACCCTGAAAATATGGAGATTGAGATTTCTTTCCACCTTGGTTTAAAGTAAGGGATTCTTAAGCTGGGATCTTGGAAGTCCTTGGAAATATATGCTTATGTGTGTTTGCATGCATCTTTTTTTCCCTGGGGAAGGATCCCCATTTTTCATCAGTTTCTCAGAAGGGTTTTATGCCTTCAGAAAAAAGCAAGAATCACTGTCCTAGTGGGTCCTTGTTCAGCTGGACTCAGCAACCCCCCAGCCTTCTCCACCACTTTGCCCTTCATGTCTTCCTTCCTTGCCCCCTGCCCTCTTTCTCTCCCCTTTTTTCTCACGTTTTCTTTTATCTCCTTCCCTCTTTTCTCCTCTTCCCTTCCCTCCCCTCCCCCCTCATCATCTCACTGTCCTGGAACATTGGAATATTTATTCTGTCATAAGTCAGGTCTGGTCCCAAGGGATTATGGTGGTTTGTTCTGATTATGATCCTCAAAAAACTTCTAGTCTAGAGGGGACAGTCTGTGGCAGCTGAGCCCCATTATAGTTGATGGAATTGGGCAAACCGAGGATCTGCTAGATGGAGTGTGGTGGCCACTCACCATTTCAAAGCGTGATGAGAAGTCCTCACCAGCCTGAAAGTGTGTAAACCAGGAAGGACAGCAGGCTGCCTTTCAGACACAGCTATGGCATCAGGACTACCAATTTCATAAACTCAATCTTTACTTCTGCTTTTCCAGAACAACCTTCTTTTTTTCTGTCTTTTCCAATACCCCTTACCCATTGGTGGCTACTCCCTCTTACCCAGTCCCAAATGGATTGCAAGGCTGAAGACATGCCTTCCTCACCCTTCTGTCTCTTTGCCACCAGGTTTCCAGCTGCGCAGGGTTGAGGAGCAACGGGAACAAGAGAAGCGGGATGTTGTGGGCAATGATGTGGCTACCATCTTGTCTCGTCGAATTGCTGTTGAGTACAGTGACTCAGAAGATGACTCCTCTGAGTTTGATGAGGACGACTGGTCGGATTAACTCTTTCTGCCTGCTGCCTACCTTCTTTTTCTTCCCTTCCTACCTGCCTTCTTTGATGCCAACCCCAACAGTACCGTGGGGGAGAAAAGGGAGGAAAAAAGTAATTTTAAGGGGCCAAAGCTTTCCCTGAAGCAACCAAAGATATATCCAAGTGCTTCCTCCAAATCAACCTGTATTTCTTCTCCCCATTGTCAGGCCCTGTGGGGCTCCTGAGATTCAGTAACTGGGATGTTCCCTCTTTCCTTCAAGTGCCTGTTGCATATTGAAAGGAAGGAGAAATCCCAAAGCAGATTCCTTTGATCGGGTTTCCGTTGGAGATGGTGCCTTCCCTTAGGAGCCATATTCAACTGCAATCTTCTAAAACCTGTGCCCTCAGCCACTTTGAATAATGCCAGCCACCTTCTGGTTCTAAAGCAGGGGGAGTGGCCTGAATGGACACAGCTGGCCCCTTTCCCGTGCTTTGAAAGGGCAGAGCAGGCCGAAGGCTCCAATGGCCAGACTGTCTCACCCTCTGCCCTAATCAGCAGGGTGGGCCTGCCTTTTTCTAAGTGATCTCTATGCCTGGGATGTCCTTTATTCCAGGAGGCATCAAGCCTCTAAAGAATGTCTCATCCCCTTTTCCCAGAAGTGATGCCTTTCTGCAGGCTGGGGTTGTTGCCTCTCTCCCAGGATCCCTTTGGTGAGTATGGTGTTCAGGATGCACCACCACCACCTCTAGGTGCCTTCAGGCAACACAGCCCAATTTTAACCTCTCGTATCCATGACCAAACTCTCCCTGACACATGAGGACAGAGGCCTCTTCTGGCTGTCAGGAGCAAAGCCTGAAGACTTGGAACTGCAGGGCAGGAGTAACAGCGGTGCTCCGTGGGTCCCACCCTTTAAAGATGCTGAGGCCTAAGGATGGGAAGTGACTTGCTCAAGGTCACACAGTTGGATAGTGACGTAGCTAGAGCCCAGAGTTCCTGATTCCAAGTCACCTGTGCTTTCTGGGACCAAATAATGGGTACCTACTGGAGTCTGGGCAGAGCTTTCATGGCAGTATGCTACTCCAGACCTCACCGTAGGTTGGGGTCCCAGTAGGAGGACTCAGGGTCTGTGCCAGCACTGTCAGTGCTGCTCAGACCTTCACAGCCTCTCTTGTCATTCTTTGTTGCCCCTTTTCTGTCACCAACCAACCACATAGCCTTGGGAGCTGCCCTTCTGGGGGACCAGAAGTAGTGAGAGAAGGAAGGGGAGAGGCAGCTTTGACAGGTGCTGTTTTCAATTCCTGTGCAACTCCTCCCCCTTTTATTTCCCCCTTTAAGCATAGATTCTGCCAACTGTGGAAACTTCAGTCCCTCAGGCTGGCAGCTGTGCTGGTACCTGCCTGGGGGGGCCTGGCAGCCGTGAAGCAGGCTGAAAGGCAGAGAGGCTCCAGGTCCTGTTTCCAGCTCCCCTCACTGCACATGGTGAAGCTCCCTCCCTTCCTCCCCGCTTTTCCCAGGCTAATACACAGGTGCTATTATTCAGGAAAAAACTGGTCAGCTCTGGCCAACAGTGAGGTTTCTTCTGTTCTGCCCTAACTATTGTGTAGCCTCTTATGCTGAAATCGGCTTCTGCTGGCTTCTCCAGCCTTCAGAGCCCTGAAACAAAGAGAAACAGGATCTGTCCCTACCCAGCACAGCAAATGGTTGTAGTAATTGCCAAAGCCCTCGTAAAACCCTCCAGCTTGAGGAGAGAGTGTATAGTCATGGGTTCTGCCTCTGTGCCCTTGCTGACCACTTCCCCTCTGCCTTCTTTCCTGGAACTCAGGGTGTGGGGACTGAGCCTGTAGGGGCCAGCGTGCCCTCCTGATGTGGCCAGTCCCACATGTGCCCTCCTGTCTCTCCAGATCAGGTGTCTCTGGCACAGGACTTGGCACCAGGCTCCCTGCTGAGACACCGGGCTATGTGGGCCCCCACCTTGTTTCCCAGGCTGCACTTCAGAAGCCGAAGGTGCTTTCATCGGAACCCTAAAATGGCCGTTGAAGGTGCCTGGGTTGCAGCCCAGCAGTAGCTGGTGAGGCAGGCAGAGGGCAGTGGTTCTCCCAAATAGGAGACCTGGGACCTGGCCAGGCCAGGGTTTGGCCCTAATGGCTTTGACTGAATTACCCCCATCCTCCTTCATTCCGGAAAAGGGAGAGCTAGAGCCACTCACTATCATTCTGCTCTGACCTTGAAGGGGGCGGTCTTGGCCTGGCTTCTGGAATGGACTGAGTCCATCGTGGAAAGGGCTGGGGGCAGGAGGAGGTGGGGAGGGGCACTGCCTGCGGAAGGTAGGATTAGATCATTAGCTCAGTGACCTCCTAGGGTTTCGATGTGCTGTGTTCTCATCCTACAGCTGGTTTGGTAATGATCTGCAAGTCCCGGAGAGCAACAGCACAGCTCTGCCTGACGCTCTCATTAAAATCTATGCAGCCAAGCTCTGCGCTTTGTAGCAGCCGGCCTTGCGAAGCCTCCTCAGCTCGGGGGGCCGGGGACCCAGTCAGCCAAGAGGCCCTCTGGGCTCCACTTATGCATATGCACCAAAAAAAGGGCTTCTTTAAACCCAGAGCCCTTTAAGATGAGAAAGGACCCAATGCAGGTAATCCTGTTTTTGGACTCATGTAATGTAGAATGCAAAGTTTAGTGATTATTGAATCTGGGCTGAGGCTGGTGAGAATATGGAACAATGGCCGATAAGGACTCCTAAGTGCTGAAGCCAAGGAGCCTCCTCCCTTCCTGGTTCACCCCACCCAGGGGACCTGCCCCCATTCCTGTGGCCCTGGGTCCCAGCTTCCAATAGTGTCAGAAGCGACTTGTGGCTTTGCCTTTGTTGTGAGATGGGTACATTCCAAAGGAGCAGCCCAGGGAGGCGGCAGGCTCAGCCAGCCCTTGGAGGCTCAGAGCAGCTGGCCCAGGCTCCAGCTCACAGTGGAAGCTTGAGCACCCTCAGAAACAACCCTGGCCAATGTTACCGCAGAGCCGAGGCGGCGTTGTCAGGGCTAATGTGAAATCTCTTCCCGTGGCGCCGATCCTCCGACTCTGCAGCGCCAGCTTGGAGAAATTGAGGTCTCTGTGGCTTTGGTGACCCTGCTTAAGCATTCCTACCGTGTCCCAGCTCTGCACTAGGACTGCCTCCCACTGCGGCCCCTCACCTGACCTCAGGGCCTGGGGAGGGAGGGAGCCAGTGCTCCGAGGCCAGGGGGCTTTGCTCATGAGAGATGTCAGGCTTCCTGGAGGCATCAGGCTTTGAGCCCTGCCGGGGTCCAGCTGACCTGGGACCAGGTGTTGTGCAGAGATGTATCTCATTCTGTGCTTCCTGCCATGTTGACTTGAACAGTGCCTCAGTGTGGGTTAGGGAACAATTTTGTTATTAAGTTTATTCAGTTAATTCACTTGAGAAACTAACCAATTTTTACTTTCTGTCTAGAATGATGTACATGTAGTAGAGTGAGCCGTAATTCTCCCAAAGTGCCTTGTTTTCTTAAATATATTTATAAGGACATAATTCAGTGGGTTCTTGGGTGTGTTTGCCACATCAAGATTTTAGGGAATGGGTGTATATGTGGTAGGGATGCCGTGTAAAAACAGGCCCTGTTCCCCTGAGGATGGGAAAGGAGCTCTTCGGTTGGAGATCTGGGCAGTGGGTTAAGCCAGACCCTGTAAAGTGACCCTTTCCTCTTCTGCCGCATTCTCAGACCCTCGGAAAGACATCCAATTTTTTAAAGCCCTGTGGCTCCAGGCCTGGTCTCTTGCTTCCCTGCCAGGCTTATCGCGTGTCTACCACATTTGTGCCCCACTGGCCCGAGGGTTCCATGTAACTATGTATACACATGAATACTTAAATGCCAACATTTTAAATAATTTGATAAAGTCTTTGTAGCCACTCAGCCACCTCTGGTGTTTGTGGTATTGTTTTAATGGGACAAGAGATTAGAAGGAAGTGATACTAATAGCCACAGGTGGTGACCAGAGCTCGGGAGGGGCTCCAGTGTTGGTGGGCCTGAAGTGCGGGAGGCTTCTGGGTGTGGAAGGCACACTGTGTGCCGAAGGTAAAGAAGGCTGGAACCATGTCAGTTTAGGAGGAGACCCAGGATGGGGGACCTGCAGGCCCAGGTATCCTGTCCCCTTCTCAACATGAGAAACGGGGTGTGCTGGGGCCACAGGAGGCAAGCTGCTGGCAACTGTTTGCATCAGGCAGGAGAGGAGCACAGGCTGAATGCTGATGCCGCTCCCAACATCTGGCCGGCATCTTATCGGCCTCTCAGACCCAAGCAACTTACCTTAAATAGAACGATTTACAGTGGAATCCGATAAAAGGGTTAGGCTGCTGCATGCCCCCTCTCCTGCCTGAGAAAGGCCAGGGGGCTGGGTTTGTATTCTGACCCAAAAAATGACCTACCCAGGAAGCAACGGTTGTTCCGAGCACAGCTGCTGCGGGTAACTGTCCCTGGGGTAATTTATGAGCAGACACCCAGTTCCGGGCCCAGCAGACACAGTGTAGTGGCCCCCGGGAGAGGGGCGGGAGCAGAGTTGGTGACTGCGGGTCACGCCTGCTGTTCGGAGAGAGAGTCACCCACTGGCATCCCGGGAGAGGGGGCAGAAGTTTTGAATTGTCAGCAACTGCTGCGCCAGCCGCTCTGAGCTCATCGCTGGAGGTGGTGGTGCAGGGGAGGGGGCCGCGGAGCCAGTTCGCCCCTGCAGAGCCCCCTTGCTCCACCCGCCTGCTCGGGCCTGTGTTTAGTCAGCACTTGGCTTCCCGAGGCCGGTGACTGACAGGCAGCCAGACGCCCGCCCTGACCGAAGACAAAATGGTGGTTCGGGAGCCGCCCTTGCTAGGGAATTAGAGGGAAGGAATGTGGCTCTGGGAAGCAAGAGGCTTGAGCTTGAATTCTGGCTCTACCACTCGGGAGCTGTGACCCTGTGCAAGTCGCTTCACCTCTTTGGGCTGATCCTGAGAAGAATGAGCATTTATTGAGCGCCCACCACCTGCCAAGGACTGCATACCTTTTATTTCATTCTTAAGAGGCAAGCGTCCCCCATTTGACACAGGAGAGAAACAGTTGCCTGAGATCACATAGCTGGCGAGGAACAGAATGTGGTTCAAACACAGGCCTCTCTCTAGCCAGAGCCCAATGCTCTGTTTACCATGGGACCGAAACATCTTAAGAGTCTCCATCCAAAATCCTTGAGGGCTTTAACGTTGTAGGGAGCCTGTTAAATGTTTCCATTCTTACCTGCCCACTCTCTGGTGCCCAGTTTTACAGGGGCAATGAACAGTGATGGTCTTTGAAATCAAGTGAGCTTGGCTGAGGGCCCAGCTATCTGAGACCCTTAGAGCAGGAAGTGCCTACACCCTTAGCTACCTGTAAACAAAGTGGATTCCCTAGGTATGGGCCAGGGCTTCACAGAAACACACGTGTGAGAGGACCAAGGTCCAGGGACCAAGACACATGAGCACCAGTGCACATACTGTGCACAGATCCTTGTCCTTGTTTTCACAAGGACATAAACCAGCACACGATTACAGGAACCCATACTCGCAGACAGCCCTCACACACAGTCCTCAGCAGCCGCTGTCCCTACTTGCTGCCTCCACCAGTTCCTCACTGCCCCCTCCTGGCTGCTTAGTGGCCAGGGCAACCTGGCACCATTTCCTGGAAGTTCTGCTCAGGGCTGGTTGTCAGCTGGTTCCCTCCTAGATCGTGGGGCTGGGAGCAGTTTAAGGGCTCCCCCTGAATTGCCCCCTCAGCCCCTGGAGGTGTGGGTGCTTAGAGAGTGCTCTTGAGGCTTAAGGACAAAAAGCCTTTCACGGGCCAGGCGTAGTGGCCTACATCTGTAATCCCAGCACTTGGGAAGCCAAGGTGGGCGTATCACTTGAAGTCAGGAGTTCAAGGCCATCCTGGCCAAGATGGTGAAACCCCATCACTACTAAAAATACAAAAATTAGCCAGACATGGTGGCAGGCGCCTGTAGTCCCAGCTACTTGGGAGGCTGAGGCATGAGAATCACTTGAACCCAGGAGGTGGAGGCTGCAATGTGCTGAGGTTGCATCACTGCACTCCAGCCTGGGCAACAGAGTGAGACTATCTAAAAAAAAAAAAAGCCTTTCACATCCAAAGGAACCTTTCATGGGAGAATTGCCAGTTAATATTCGGGGCAAGAGGCCCTACCTACATGCCTTCCCTGCCTTTACCTAAGAAACTGCATGCATGTCCACAGTGTGCACACATGAGCTCACACTGCACACATCATTAAAAAGGAGCAGACTTCCTGGCTGAGAAATCAGAGGTCAGATCTAGCCCAGATCTTGGGCCTCAGCTTCCTCACCTATTCAACAAACAGTTGACTACGATGATGTATGCAGCCCCTCTACTCTGGCGCTGCACCATCTTGGGAACTGACACCGCTCCCAGAGTGTGCGTTTTGGAAGGATTACCAATGCAACGCCTTTCGTTCCTACTTTATAGATGAGGAAACAAGGTACAGAGAGCCACAGCAACTTGCCTGAAGTCACACAGCAAGCTAGCAGCAGGCATGGAAATAGAAACCATTTTTCCAATGCTCTAGACTGCCTACAGGAGAGCAGAGCACCTTGTGGGCTTGGGCCACAGCCAAGAAGACAAATTGGAAGGGCTAAAGCCAGAAGCTATGCCATTTTTTCTTGGAGCCATGACAGTGTCCCTGTGGCTGCCTAACGGCTTAGGAGAAGCCCAGAGGAGGTCCTAGGCTTAGGCATTTAGCATGGAGGCTGGGAAAAGACAGGTTGGAAGTTGGGTGGGCCCTATCACGCCCTATCCCCCCAGTAGACTGAGCAAACCTCAAGCTTCCTTTTATGTAAAGCCAGAGGCCAGCTAAAGAGGGTTCTCCCTAGCTTGTGGCCACTTCGTAGCTTGTTCATCGGGGCATATACATGCATATGAGCAGTGTGCATGGATGTTCTGCATGCATATCTGGACTGTACATGTGTCTGTCCAGTGTGGATAGATGTTGATGCATGCCCGCAAGTACACTTAGGACATTCATGGGCACATCTAATATGTATGTGTATGTGTTTGTGAGGCCATATACATGCGACTGCATTTGTGTGCATTGGATGTGCATATATAAATGATGTCTGTATATCTGGCAGGTGACTATGAACATGTAAAATTTTGCTTGCATGCATACTTGGTACATTCATGCGTGTACTTGGGTTTGTGCAGATGTTCGTCTGTGTTAGTGTGCCAAGTGGGGTGGAATATGTCTGCACACATGGCTGGTGATTGTGTGTAAATGTGCATGCCAGGCTGGCTTCGGGTGACTATGTAGATAACGAATCATAGGAGTGCCCTCCCAAGAGAGTATGAAGCCAGTGTTCTGCCCAATCCTGGAATAGGGGGTGTGCGGCCTGGCTCCAGCTAGGCACTGGGCTTGCAGCACCCCCACCCTCACCCTCTACATGCACAAAATTCCCTAGACCCATCCTACTTGGCCAATTGCAGCCTCTCGCTCCCAGCTCCTGAGAAGGCCTGCAGCAAAGTCAAGGGGCTGTTGGCCAATTAGTGAGGGGATTAATCAGGGATTGGGGCCCTCCCCCGGGGGGGGGGCGGGAAGCTGAAGGCAGGCATTGGGGTTGGCAGGAGCATGAGCTGCTTGTCATGAGGCAAGGGGAAAGGGGAGACAAGGAGTGGGGGTTGAGCCAGCCCGTTGGTTCTGAAAACCGAGGACCAACCTGTGAATTCAGGATTGCTGAGCACTGCCAGCAGCAGGGAGCATGTGCGAGTGTGTATGCTGTGTGTGAAAGGGCGTGCACATGCATTCAAGTCCTTGAATGTAGTACTGCCTGCAAATGTGTATACATGACTATGGATACCATCTATATACACATGCAGTTGTTTGTATATGTGAGTGTGCTAATGTGTTTGGATATGCAAACATGTTTGTTGCACCTGTGTACACATAAAGAGAAAGTTGACGTGGTCCGTGTACACATGCGCAATGATGTATCTGCATGCACAAGTGTGTATGTGCTAGTGTGCAGATGCATCTGGGTATATGTACATACGTGTCTGCATGTGTGTGTGTTCTCAGAACAGCCAGGGGCCTAGACGTGTGTGCCTGCATGTGCCACGAGCATGTGTCTGTGTATGCAGATCTCAGCACGGAAGGAGCTGGGGGATGCTGGACTGGTGGTCTCCAGGCTCCAAGAGGGAATCTGACAGCTGAGCCTTGCCGCAGCCCCCAGCCCTGGGAGCCTGTTTTCCAGCCTGCGGAAGCTGTGAGCCCGTGAACTCATCTTATATTAATAGCTGCTGTCTCCTCGCTTATTGCAAGGAGAGGCGGACATGGCCCCGGCGGGGGCTCAGCACTCAGGGCTGCCCCCCGTCATGCACACCAGGACCAAGGGAGGTGGAGAGGAGGGTTGAGCTCCAGCCCCATCCCAGGGCCTACTCCAGCAGGAAGGTGAGGCTCTGGGCCCTAGCCCTGTCTCCCCCAATTCAGGGGGCCACATCACCAGTTCACCTTGCTGGGGAGTCAAAAAGCTGGCAGAGGCAGAGAGGCTAGAAGGCATGGCTACCCCTACCCAAACATGCACACTCCAGCAAACTCAGGCGTGTACACACACAAGCATGCAGTGCTGAGCAGCTCCAGGCTGAACACAGAGGACCCTGAGGCTGCAGGAGACACAGGAGGCCCCAGTCTGAGTGGGGAGGACACAGTCCTGCCCTCAGGGACCCTCAATCTGAGGCAAAAGACATGACCCTGTTCTCAAGAGGCCCCAAGCTCCCAGTCTGAGGGGGGAGGCATGACCTTGTACAGGTATTGATCGACTTACCACCTATGCAACTTACGACCATTCGACTTTACGACCACAATCGCTAGCCACGACTGCTCCGCGTCTGGCAGCG